TCGGTAATCCTAGCAGCAGGTGCAGATCCCTGTGCTGACCCCTGATGTAACTGCGGGCACTCGGCCTTCCGATGGCCAGTCTGGTTGCAATGAAAGCAAACCATAAATCCCTTGGGGAAATCCTTTGTGATATGCCCCTCCTTGCCACATTTGTAGCAAGCGCCTGATCGACAGAACCCATCATGTCCCTTGTTGTACTTCCCACAAGTGCGGCCCTTCTGGCCTCCAGATCTCGTATCAGCGGACTTTGCCCGCTTGGCTGCCGGCTGAGACTGTGACGGCCGCCGATCCACCTTCTGAGACTCGGCCTCCTCCCTGGCCTGAGTCTCCAACTCAATCTCCCTCTTCCGGGCATTTGCCTGGAGCTCAGCAAATGTCCGGTAAGTCGAGTTCGACACGAACTCCCGAATATCCCTCCTCAAAACGCCAAAATACCGGCTCATGCGTGCCTGCTCAGTAGACACGTGCTCAGGGCAGAACATCGCCCTCTCATGAAACTTCCTGGTAACCACAGTAACCGAATCAGTACCCTACTTGAGGGTCAAGAACTCCTGAATCAACCGTTCCCTCTCCACTGGGGGAACATACTCATCTCTGAACATGGTGGTGAACCTCTCCCAGGTCACCGCTGAAATCTCTGCAAGAGTGAAGCTCGCCGTCACGAACTTCCACCAATCCTTCGCTCCCAAGCGAAGCTGGTCCAACGCGAACCGTACCCTCAGATGCTCCGGACATGAACACGTGTAGAAGCATCCCTCGATGTCAGAAATCCATCTCATCGCAGCGATTGGATCCTGCGTCCCATCAAACTTTTGGTGGCTTCGTGTTGCTGAACTCCCGAAACAACAACGGGTCACCTCCCTGAGGCCTGGCAGCAGCCACAGCTGCGGTAGCTGCTGCAGCCGCCACCTCAGTCACCGCGGCGTACCGCTCATCAAAAGTCTCAATCAACGTGGTCTTGATAGACCCAAACATCTCCGGAATCTCGGCCCGGATCGCCGCTGCCACCTCATCGTGGATCATCTGACGAAGCTCCTCGTCACTCACGCCGCTCGGCTCAGGTCTGTGGCGTGTCCCAACCATGATGTCTCTGAAATAAATCATAATAATATCAGAGATCTGCTCGAGCATACTCGCACTCGATAACTCAACCCTACTTGTTCTTTAGTACCCAAAGGATTCTTACTTAGAGTGTGCACTGCTCCGGTGTCTTCAGTAGTACGGGCCCTATACTACCGTCCACACCGCATCAGTATTCACCCTAAGTCCTCCTCCTTGGATCCCAGATCACAAGTACTCTATATCTCACTGGCATAGGCTACCCTTCGGTAGACCCCTCATCAGCTCCTCACTGCTACCTACTCGCTCTCAAGCATCACATAGCAGCAAAATCCTTTCTAGGGGCTAAGGCATCACAAAATCAGGCCACTCTAGTCCTAATATGAATACCTAGCCAACTCTAGCATGCATATCATATCATAACATATCTCATAACACATAATGTAAGGGTATTTTGGGAAATCACCGTTCAGGCGTTGGCTGATCGTACACACTGCTTCCTTCTGCCTTTCTCAAAATCTTTTACTCTCTTGGAAAAAATTGTTTATTTTATGCAAAACTTTCTCAATTCCTCAGTTTGAGTTCAGATTCATCTGAAGATGCACCCGAATCCCTCAAACAAAGGCTCTGATACCAACTTGTAACAACGTAAATTTTCAAAACAATTTTTCATTTTTAAATCATACTTTCAATCACATGATAATCACAAAACATAATGTATCACTGTGTCATAACAAAACATGTCCCCAGAATCTCAATAACATAAACTTTATAAGTGTGTACGGATCATGCCGGCGCCTTCCCGCGATCCTTGCTAGTACCTGAAACACATATCATAACAACTGTAAGCATAAATGCTTAGTGAGTTCCCCAAAATACCACATACCACACATACGCCTTTCCAGGCCATAACTCTATAGGATCTTCCGATCCATGTGTCTCAGGGGACTTCCGTCCCGAATCCCGGTATACCTTCCGGTCCTACCCGTATCGACCTTCCGGTCCGTGACCTCTTGACCTTCCGGTCCATATCATCTTGACCTTCCGGTCCATAACATCTTGACCTTCCGGTCCTTACCATACATAACATACATATCACATAACCGCATATAGCACATACATCTCATAGCATACAAAACCTTCCGGTCACACATAGGTACCCTTCCAGGTACAGTATAGTGAGAAGACTCACCTCAATGAAGTCAGATAAACTCTCGTGCTCAACGTCCCGACTTAGCCTCCTCCTATTATTCAGATAACATCTCTGATCAATATTCTCTCATGATCTCATCTCTACAGATTGGGTAGAAGGCCATTCTACCCTTCCCTGACTCTCCTGACTCAGTCTTGACCAGAACCCTAAAGTCAACGAAAGTCAACGGTCAAACTTTGACCCGACTCGTCGAGTGCACAAGGGCGACTCGGCGAGTCCATGCGGTTCCTTTGAATCCTTTCAGCCTCTCTTGGCTCGTCGAGTCATTCTTCCACTCGACGGGTTACACCTGTCACGAATCGCGGGGCAACCCCGACTCGACTCGTCGAGTCCACTTATGGACTCGGCGAGTTGCTCCCATAACTACTCTCAAATGACCTTATGAGGTCAGATCTGCTTCTCTAAACTATAGATCTGGCCTTCAAGTGCTCAAAAGATCACGTAAAGGTGCAACCTTTACGTGCATGCAACCCACATCAAGTCATAAATGGAGAAATAACTCTAAAAATGGCAACGTAGTCTCTAATCCTCCATGAACAAGCATAAAGCAGAATGGGGAAGGTTCTCTGGACCTCTATGGGTCCAGATATGAGGTCTAACCCCAGCAAGGGACCATAAACTCTACTCTTCAAGCCTTCAAAGGTTATAGAAAATCCTAAATCATAGATCTTAACCCAAAACAGAAAGGAAGTTCGATTTGATACCTCAATAGTGTAGATCTGAACTTGAAAACCCTGGATCCACAGCTCCCTTGACCTCCTCTTGTTGGAAACTACTTCTCTTTTGCTAAAACACACAAGAAATGGTGAATTAGTGTTCCTATTGCACTATAAACGTTCTCTCTCTCTCTAGGGTTTCTCAGGGGTGAAGTGGCCGCAATGGAGGCTATAAAGGCCTTTAAATAGGGCACAGACCGCTAGAACTAGGGTTTCCAATTACAATGCGGACTCGCCGAGTCCACGCATCGACTCGTCGAGTCCTTCATTAAAGCAGACCAGGAATGCGCGATCCCACTCGGCGAGTCTGAGCGCCTACTCGCCGAGTCCCCCTCTAAAATTCAATAATAAATACTTAAAATAAGATACCTGGGAATCCGGATGTTACAGTACCCATCCACTACAAATCCGTTGATCGGAGCAAAACCCACGAGCATCAACACCTCCTCTGTTGATCGAAGCAAATGTAGAAATCTACCTTCCTCCGGTTTATTTTCGAACCACCGCTGTGGAGCCATCGACCACCACAGCCCCACCGCAAACTACCTTGTTCAGTCTTGGTTGAGCCCCACCATCATTCCTTTCCTGATTCTATCGAGCTAGCTACGAGGCCCCACCCTACGCCACTCTCCCTCGTCTCCTTACTTCACCAGCAAAGAGGACCACCACAGTCGATGGTGGCAGACTCTCCGCCTCCTCTTTTCGTAACCTACCACTACAAATGGTCCATCACCACCACTGTTTTCCCTTGGTCCCTCTTCAACCAGCCAACAGTAAACGAAGCAGTATATCCGTCATTGTCATCGCAACCCTCCGTCATCATCAACCGTTGTCTCCATCGTTGTTTCCAACACCACCTGCCGCCGTCGTTGCCCTTCTACCGCCGCTGCAGTTTCAGCCCCACCACCGCCCGTTCCTGATGTTGTTGATAAGACCACCAGTGTCGTTTCTTTGGAGCTATTTGAAAATTTCTCTACAAATCAATTTACTGGATGCTATTGTTAATGAGGTCTTGAAGGTATTTGCAAATCACGTGGTTAAGGTTTTTCCATATTTAAGACAAATCAACGATTGTGTTTTTCCGGATTTTGTACTCAAATTCCGATTGAATTTCTCAATTGATTGTGTGAAACGCTGAAGGAGACAAGATGGGGAAGTTTGGCTTACTTGACTTTTAATTTTGATTATTTGGCTGACTTGGCTTTTAAAATTATTAAAATCAGTTTTTATATGTGCCATGTGGCATATCTACCTGCTAGTTTAGGTAACAAGACTAAAAAGACAGGTTGCTCACAACTTTGTTCCCTTATAAAGCCACAAAAAAAGTTAAGTAACTAAAAGGGTAAACCCTAGAAAGCTCATAGGTCGTATGTATCATTTTCCCTTACTAAAAAAGATGATGTGATATTTATTTTTGATTAACCAAATACATATGGGTCGGTTATGGTTTCATCCAAAACCGAACCGAATCAATAATATTAATAAATGTTTTTAATATAATATAATATTAAATACATTATATGTAATTATATTTGAAATTGAAAATTTAAAAGACAATTATTTGGAATTAAATAGTTTCCAATTAATTATAATTATGATTAACCAATATTAATCATTAATCATAAACTTAAATAAAAATAATAAAAAAAAGAAAAAAGAAAGAAAAAAGAACCATAAATTTAAAAGGCAATATTAACCATTAACCAAGATAAACACTGAATTGTTTACTTTTTTTATAACAACCTACTTTATGTTTTTCAGTTTTATAGTAAAGTATTTTTTAATTTAATCGTATTTTCAACCATTACGATTAACCAATATTATCATTAATCACAACCATTTGCCGAGAAAAATCTTTAATTAAAATCAATATTAACCGTTTCAAAGTATTTGAGTTTGGGGAGTCTAAAGGTTTTACTAGTATAGTGAGAAAAGTGACAAACTCTACATACTTTAGGGATGCAAATTGTTTCTAGTTTTCTCCTTCTCCAGATTTAAACGTACGAATACGTTTCCTGAGCTACTGAGCACATAGAGAACTACACAGAGATTTCCTCTTCAGGCTCTTAAAGCATTCGATTTGTGGTTTTTTCTAGGGTTTCATTTCGGGAGAATACGATGGGAGGCGGATGCGGAGGCGACGGTAGTGATGGTGGCGGGGCCGTCACCGCTGTTACCATTAACGTAAGTTGTACTGACGGCACGAAGTTCACCGTTCAGGTGAGCCTCGACTCGTCTGTTCAATCCTTCAAGTCTCTGCTTGCAAAAACATGTGACATCCCTGCGGAAGAGCAGCGTTTGATTTATAAAGGCGGCATTCTCAAAGACGATCAGACTCTAAAGAGCTATGGTATTCTACTTCAACCATATCTGATCATATGTTTACAAACACCATATAGTTTTGCTCGAATGCTTCGTTTTGTTGTAAATATTTTTTCGACTGTAGCTGTATGATTTCCGATTGTGATCCACAGGTTTGGAGGCAGAGCACACTGTTCATTTGGTTCGTCGTGTTCTACCTGATGCATCCGATAACACAGCTGAAGAGGGAACAAGGGGTGGATCTGGTGGTTTACCAGCTTATGCAATTGATTTGAGTGGATTTCCAGAGTTTGAACAAATGCAGCATGAGTTTATTCAGAACCCAGACATGATTGTGGAAACTATTCATCAGCCTTTTGCTCAGATCATGATGAGTTATCCAGATGTTATGCGCAACATTTTGTTGAGTGACCCTATATCGCGTCAAGTTATTGATAGGGATCCAGACCTTGCTAGCATACTCTATGATCCTTCCATCTTCAGTCAGATGACAGAGATTGTAAGACACACAAGCGTTGAATTCATACGTAATCTTATACGCATTGCAGAAGGAGCTGGTGGTGGCGACGGCGGTAGTAGTGATGGTGGAGACGGCGGTAGTAGTGGTGGTGCTACTCAAACGCATCCTGCTGTGATTGACCTGTCAAATCCGGCTGTTTCACATAATGTGCAGGATATGAATCAGGTTTTTGCTTCTTCTTTTTTCTTCATTATCTTTCGATTTAGTTGTTTGTTGGGGTTTGAATGCTTACATAGTTCACTAATCACTGATTAGATGTCTGGCGTAAATGCAAATGCAAATCCAATTGCAGAGATGCGCAATCCCCAAATGAATTCAGAAGAGAACATGGAGGTACATTAGCTTTTAGCTATGCTATGTGTATCTTTTTTCAATACGATTGCATTTTTTTTATTATTAAATTTCTATTATTTCGAATCAAGTTCAAGTGTTCAACATATAAGTAGACATGATATTCTATTATTTTTATGATAATGCTGCAAAACTCTTGTATTACAGCAATCTCTTTTCTCCCAACTTGGTCAGCAACAAAGCACCAGGTAAATTAGGTCAAACTTTTGTTCCATGATAATTCATAGGAAATAAAATAAATAAAAAATCATATTAGTTGGTGTTGAATGTAAAGTTTGGATTTTTGTACGCAGGATGGGTGTGAGTCAAACAAGTGGAGGAACAGGTTCTTCGTTTTCCAATAACTTCATATAATCATATATGGTTGCTTTTCCTTATAGTGCAATAAATATGAGATTATTTTTAATTTGGGTCGAAACTAGGAGTTTTTTTTTTTTTATTTATTTATCAAATTTGGTTTCTATTTCATGGTTTCATAATCCCCATTTGTTCTCAAGACCAACACTGTGTGCTTTACTATGCCATGTCACGGTAAAATGACTATATCACCCCACAATCTGCTCCTCATTACTACCCAATTTCATTTTCTTTTTAATTTCATGAATGGACCAAATATGATATTTAGTCTTCATATAACATATGAAAATTCTATGCAATATTATTTTGAATTAGCAACTTTATTTTCAGATAACCTGTTTAATTATCTGACGTGGCACTTGGAGATTTTGCTGACTCACCCTGCCTTGTTGTTTCAGTGGGCCCAGAAGAAGTGTACGCTAGTGAAGTTGCAGAACTAGAAGAAATGGGTTTTCCTGATACACGTCGGAATATTGAAGCCCTGGCACTGGCAGCCACCGAAGGTAACATTCCTGATGCTGTTGACCGCCTACTTGGTGGTCAATAGAAGCTTCCAGGCCACACGTGTTATGTGTGTTATATGACTATGACTGTTCTTTTTGGGGATGATGATTACCAGTAACAAACCCACGTGCTTTTGTTAACATGTAATGTGTCGTTGCTTACCTCATTACATGGTTTTTGAAGCCAATTTTTTGGGAATTGGATCATGTTGGATGGATCTAATTCTATTATGATGCGAGTTACGGGTGTTTTGGATGTGTCACAAACTTTGATTGTTGCAATTTAGTTTCACTATGTTGGTTGATATTGATTTTGGTTTCCATTTTTTATTTTTTTATTTTGTGTTGTCATCAAATAAATGATGGAGTCAAGTCAAGGATGGGAAATAAGGTATGTGATATCTATTTATATTTTAACATTTATTTAGGACTATAAAACTATAAACTTAGAATGTCAGGGTAGTTTATGACCATCCATGACTTAACTTAGAGGTCCAAAAATGACGAAATGAGAGAGTTGTAATGCCTTAAGCGTCTAGGGCTTGAATCTCTCTTTGTGTCAAACGATTTTGAGATAGAATTAGAGATTTGGAAGGCTTATCTCATTTTTCAGCAATTAAAAGTGAAGTTAGTTTGATTGATTCTTTATCTGCCTCAAAAGGACTCCTTAAGATATTTATTTTTTCCTTATAGATGCTTAATTTGAATTCTATGACTCTTAGATGGTGAAATATTCATGAACACTTCTGGCCATGAACAATTTTGATGGATGAATTGATACTTGCAAAGTGTTATAAATTAGATTATATTACCTTTCTGAGCATTCATTATACGAAAACCAATTCAATCACTTAATGTATATGAGGTTGAACCTTTTGATAAGTTTTGGAACTAAGATGGAATACATTACCGAGTTGATGCTTAAAATGTTGTTAATGGAAGTTTGTAGAGTTTAATTAAAAGATAACATTGAAACTATATGTTATTAGTGGATGTTCTAATTATTTGAATCTTGTTTTAAATCTGTTACTTTACTGTATTATTTCTTAGTCATTAGAGTTATATAAAATAAATTTAGAAGACAAAATAGTTATTTGTATGAGATACTATTACATTTGGAACCTTTGTTTTGTTGTCTTTATTAAACTATTGCATGTTTTCCAAACTATGTTAGATTATCTAGACTTTTGGACCGATTTCAGCATTTGTACTCTAAAAATGATTTTAAATTTTATTAGGGATCATTTTCCGCAAATTAAAACTTTGATTTTCTCTTAATTATTTTTTGGAAAAATGATTTTATAAATTTTAAAAGAGTGGTGGAAGGTAAAGATGGCGTGAAGGCTTCTTTAGGTGACTGTGTGGATTAAAGGCAAATATAATATTTAGAAAAAAAAAATAGATCTAATAACGCTATAGTAAGCAAATATATAAAAGTTCATGCTTTAATTGGCGCTACCTTCTCCTTTAACTTTTGCTTTCTTCACAAATTTTTACTCACGTAGAGTAAAAAAATCAAGAAGATGTGTTATCAACCGGACTAAATTATCAGTCACTCTGCCACACTCTGCCGACTAAATTACCACCACCATTTCCACCTGAAAAAACATCATATCCATGTTTAAATGTAGGAAAAGTACTACCCATAAATCAATTCAAACTCTAGAATAAAAAACAATAAATGATGTTAACAAATCAAGAATCTGAGGCAAGAAATGATACCCAAGGTTTGATGGCCTAGCAATAGCATACTCATTTGTACCTTTTATTTTTTTTGGATTTTCTAATCATTTAAGGCTTAAATGAAAATGGGTAAGAGGTGATTACCTAGCATACTTAATGGAATTTGGCCAAAAAACTCTCCTCGTATATTGCATTAATAATATGTATATATAGATACACAATTTACACTTTGGTACCACATAGTTTACAATAATGAATTTCCTAGTCTAATATACCCCTTCAGTCTAAGGAGGAGGATGACGGATGCTTAGACTGGATCTGAAGTTGTTAAAAAGTACTTGTGGTATCCCTTTGGTGAATATATCAGCTATTTGGTAGCAAGATGCGACATGTAAAACCCTGATATGACCGCGTTGAACCTTCTCTCGTACGAAATGTATATCAATTTCAATGTGTTTGGTTCGTTGATGTTGAATTGGATTTCCCGACATGTAAATGGCGCTGACGTTGTCACAATAAACTAGAGACGTGCGTGTCGGATGGTGACCAAGTTCAAGAAGGAGGTTTCTAAGCCAACAAACCTCTGCAACAACGTTAGCGACGCCTCTATACTCTGCCTCAACACTAGAACGGGAGACGGTCGTTTGACGCTTGGATGACCATGATAGTAAGTTGTCACCCAGAAACACACAATATCCAGAAGTAGATCGTCGTGTGTCTGGACAACCGGCCCAATCAGCATCGGTATAAGCAGTAAGAGTGGAGGTCGTGTTACGATGCAAGTATAATCCCATGTCAATTGTACCTTTAATGTATCTTAGAATGCGTTTTAGAGCATTCATGTGTGACGTCAGTGGAGCATGCATATGCATGCAAATTTGTTGTACAGCGTATGAAATATCTGGACGTGTGAACGTAAGATACTGTAAGGTACCAGCAAGACTGCGATAAATAGTGGGATCAGCAATCAATTCCCCTATGGTGCTACTGAGCTTCCCGTCTGTGTCGACAGGAGTATGTACCGGATTACATTGGGCCATATTTGCCCGTAAAAGAATATCGACGGCATATTTCTGTTGTGATAAAAATAAACCTTTTGGGTCCCGCTTGACTGAAATTCCCAAGAAATAGCTAAGGTGGCCCAAGTCCTTCATGGAAAACTCGTTGGATAGACGAGTCATAAGATGTTGTTTTAGAGCCGGTGATGATGTGGTAAGAACTATATCATCAACATATAAAAGAAGATATGTTGTATCCCTGCCATGGTTGTAGATGAACAAGGAATGATCACAAGCACTATGTCGAAATCCGAGTGTGGTGACATAATCTGTGAATCTTTGGTACCATGCACGAGGTGCCTGTTTCAACCCGTATAGGGACTTTTTCAGTCGGCAAACATGGTGTGGATAAGAAGAATTTCGGAAGCCCATGGGTTGATGCATGTATACCGTTTCTGCTAAATGCCCGTGTAGAAAAGCGTTTTTAACATCCAGTTGATTAATTTCCCATTGGTGAGATAACGCAATGCTGAGGACTGTTCGAATGGTCGCCGGTTTAACAACTGGACTGAACGTCTCGTCGCAATCAACTCCAACCTGTTGTGACCTGTCATCACAAACCAAACACGCTTTGTAGCGCTCAAGTGATCCGTCAGATTTGGTTTTATGTTTGAAAATCCACATGCACCTAATAATGTTCATGTTTGGACGCATCGGTACCAATTCCCATGTACTATTATCAATAAGGGCATTAAACTCATCAGTCATGGCACGGTTCCAAATGGGATTGTTAAGGGCTTCAGTCGTGGTGTGGGGGAGTGGCTCGAAAGGTGCAGAAGTATGGAGAGTAAACATTTGTTTGGGTTTGGATGAGCCGGTCATGCTACGTGTGCACATGGTACGGGTAGGTGGTGGTGGTGGATTAGGGACATGCTCGGTGGATGATGGTGTTGGTTGTGATGGTAGGGGCAGTTGGGTTTCAGTTAGGGGGTGGGGTGAGGTTATGTTGGTTTATTTCGACGGGTGTAGGTTTTAAGGGTGGATGTTGGTTGAGCGTGAGCATGAGCAGGTGATTGTGGTGGGGTGATGGTTTCGGTTTGTGGTATTGGAGGAATGGGAGGAGGCGTTTGGGTTGGTGAGGTAGTGGTGACGGATTCACAGATACATGGATGAAGATCACTGGATTGGTTTAAGTGAAGGAAGTCATAGGAAGGTGGCGAGGAGTGAAGGTTGGCAAATGGGAAAACATTTTCATCAAAGAGAACGTGACGAGAAATAATTATCTTTTTGGTGGAGAGTTCATAACATTTATACCCCCTTTGGTTGGAGGGGTACCCGAGAAATACACACGGTGTTGATCGGTTTTCAAGTTTGTGAATAGAAGTAGAGGGAATAAGAGGATAACAAAGACAACCAAACGTTCTTAGGTGGGTGTATGTGGGATGTTTGTTGTAGAGAAGTAGGGTTGCGATGGAGTTGTTTTTGGTTTTGGATGGTAGGATGTTGAGAATGTAGGTGGCCATTTGTAGGGCATGATGCCAGAAAGTTGGTGGTAGAGAGGCATGGGTAAGAAGGGTACGAATAATGTTGTTTATTGATCGATTTTTTCGTTCAGCTTTCCCATTTTGAGAGGATGTGTGAGGGCAAGAGAACCTGAAAACCATCCCGTGTTGAGTACAGAAATCATGAAACGACTTATTGTTGTACTCAGTTCCATTATCGCACTGAAAACTTTTAATTTCTCGTTCAAACTGTGTGTTAATGAGCTTGTAGAAATTTAAGAAAATGGAGTAGACATGTGACTTGTTTGTGAGTGGGTAAGTCCATAGATAGTTTGTATAATCGTCGAGAAATAGGATATAATAACGGTGACCCCCTGAACTAGGAACTGGGGAGGTCCATAAATCACTATGTATAATATCAAACGGTAAACACGTAACAGAAACGGAATCGTAAAACGGTAATTTGATATGTTTACCAAAAACACACGATTGACATAAATGTTTGTCTGAAAAAGTCTTAACAGAAATGAAATTACGTTTATTTAAGACTCTCAATAAAGATGAACTAGGGTGACCCAAACGCTTATGCCAAAGATCTTGTGTCAAAGCAGCAAAGGTAGAAGGTGGTGTGACTTGAGCAGAAGGTAGGGAGAGGGGATAGAGTTCTCCAGTACTGTCACATCGAAGGATAGGAATCCGCGTCTGGTAGTCCTTCACAAGAAAACCAAAACGATCAAATTCAATAGAAATGGGGTTATCAGTTGTTAAACGTCGAACTGAAAGTAGGTTTTTGATCAGTTTAGGTACATGAAGGATATTATTAAGTTTTAAAGGAGGGTAAGGTGGTTGTAGGGTTGTGTGACCGGTTCTATGGATGGGTATTTGAGAACCGTTGCCAACGACGATATTGTTTTGTATACCATTATTGAAATAATTGGAAATGTTACTTGTTGTATTCGACATGTGGTTGGTAGCGCCGGAATCGAGATACCAGTTCTGGTCCGGGTTTAATGTCATAGTATGCATCGCCTGGTCAATGTTGGTCGGGGTATATGATTGAGAAGCT